CTCCTCCTCTCCAGGATGACTTGGCAAGAGCTGCTGCCTATTCTATCCGGTCCATTTATGACACCACCTTTAAAGTGGGGAGCATCTGCAAAACTATCTGTGAGTATTTTGCTGGTCTGAGCCTTTATGGGCTATCTCTGTCCCCCGTTCTAGGTCTCTCCCTCTTGGAAGCAGTGATGCTTCTGTAGAGCAGCACCATCAGTCAAACATTTGAGCTGAAGCTTCACATAAGAAGCCAGTACTCATCCCTCACAAATATAAAAGATAGGACACCAGAACTCAGTCAATCCTCTTTTCACCCTCTGAATCTTCTCCCTTTCTCTTTCAGACCAAGCCAGTGGAGGCAGCATTGACTGGAGCTACGATTATGGCATCAAATACTCCTTTGCCTTTGAGCTGCGAGACACAGGTCGCTTTGGTTTCCTCCTGCCAGCCAACCAGATTATTCCAACTGCAGAGGAGACCTGGCTGGGCCTGAAAACAATCATGGAACACGTGCGAGACAATCCCTACTGAAATCTGGGGTGGGATTGAGCTTTCTGTAAGGAGCAAGCTCATAAATCCTCTTCCCTTTTTGTGCTTGTGACAGCTGTAATGATATGAATCATAGAATGGTTTGGGTTGGAAAGGACCTTAAAGCTCCTCCAGTTCCAACCCCCTGCCATGGGCAGGGACACCTTCCACTAGAGCAGCTTGCTCCAAGCCCCAGTGTCCAACCTGGCCTTGAACACTGCCAGGGATGGGGCAGCCACAGCTTCTCTGGGCACCCTGTGCCAGTGCCTCAGCACCCTCACAGGGAAGAGCTTCTGCCTAAGAGCTCATCTCAGTCTCCCCTCTGGCAGGTTAAAGCCATTCCCCTTGTCCTGGCCCTACAGGCCCTTGTCCAAAGCCCCTCTCCAGCTTTCCTGCAGCCCCTTTAGGCACTGGAGCTGCTCTAAGGTCTCCCCTTCAGGAGCCTTCTCTTCTCCAGGCTGACCCAGCCCAGCTCTCTCAGCCTGGCTCCAGAGCTGCTCCAGCCCTCACAGCATCTCTGTGGCCTCCTTTGGATCTGCTCACGTGGCACTATGGTATCTGGCTGAATAAAACCCCTGTATGCATTCCTCCTACAGCAACACGTGTCTGCATATGAAAAGCATTTAATGCTTGTCGTGTTCACTTCCACTGTATGTGCATGGTAGATCCATTAGAAGATTTTAGGATGCAGTTGTGGCCCACCTCAATGAGACGCAGTAGGAACAGTGACAAGAGGAGGATGGATGGTGTGAGCACTTGTGTGGCTGTTGAGATTTCAGAGGAGTGACCTCCAGTGAGGTGAAGAGATCAGGTCTTTCCCACCTGGATAAACAAGGAGAACAGGGGGGGTTACCTGAGCCTGCCTCATGCTCTGCTCCAGTGGTGTTTAGAGAGGACATGGAAGAACGTCTCTATTTATTTCATATATAACAGCTCCACGTTGCTGCTCTTGTAAGCCAAAGCTCTGAGAGAGCTCACTTCTGGAAGCAGAACAAGCTGCTGTAGACATGATGATGATCAGCAGCATAATCCAGGTTAGGAGACTGATTAAAGGAATTTTGTTTCCTGTCATGAGCCTCAGGATGCTGCCTGGTGGGAAGGAGCAATCCTGGCCTAACATCCCCCAAATACTTGTCCTGTCCCTTGCCTCCCTCCTGGATTTGCCCATGCTTAGAAGGAGGATGAAGATGGGCAGACTCCTGCTCTCATCCAGCACAGCCAGTTTGCAATCCCTCAGGAGTCCCCCTCATCCTGCTCTTCATCCTGCTCATTTCTTGGGAATTAAGAGCAGACAGCTCAGGGCTGTGCACGGGAGCCATGGAAAGGGCAGAGTTTAGCAATCCCTGCTGCTGCTGCTGCAGTGATTATCAATCAGCTCTAACAGGTTTATCTCCATGTCTTGTGATCTCCCAGCAGCTGGTGAGTTACTCACTGCTCCGTGAGCTTGGCAGGAGGCAAAACTACCTGGTGTAGTGGGTGAAATGTTGGTTCAGATTGAAGGACATGAGATTATGGCAGGGAAAGGAAGGTGAAGGTGAGTCTGAGGCATTGAAAAGAGCCACGTGGGTTTGGTTTGGGGTTAAGTGCAGATGTTTTCAAAAGCAAACCCAAGCACGGGGCAGCTGGAGCTTCCCCACGTGTGTCCCCATCCCCTCTGCTCCTGGCATCTGCTTCCCAAACTGACCCACACTTCCGATATCCCGTCCTCCAGATGGGGATTAGAACCAACACTGGTAAATCCCAACTGGTGGAGAGGGTCCAGGGCCCATGTTGGCTTTTGGTCCTGGCCAACCTGTTGCCACCAGAGCAGGGACTTTGTGGCAAGTGGGGAGGAGCTGCAGAGCCTGAGGAGCCGCAGCTGGTGTTGTAGACCTAAAGCTTATTCCAACCATCCGGGTCTGAGGCCACCCAGCCCCTCTTCTACTAAATGTGTGCTTTGGTGACAACTGCATCCAGTTTTTGGGATCCTGGCACCAAAGAGACTGGAAGGAAGACCAGTGGGGATCACCAAGAGGAACAGGAGGATGTGTCCCCTGGTGGGATGCTGAGATGGGCTAGTTTGGCCTGGAGATGAGACAGCTTTGGGGTGGGGTGACCTAATGAGAACGCTCCCATCCATAGAAATAGGTTATTGAGAACATGAAACCGAGACAACAGCATCAACTGAAACAAGAGAGGGACAGGCTGGACATGAGAAAATGCTCTTCCATTGGGAGGACAGGCCAGCAATGGGACACATTGACCTTTACCTGGCACCACTGGCCAGGACCAGCTCACCAACATCAGAAGGAGCATGAGCAGCAGTTCAGGGAGGGGATCCTGCCCTTCTGCTGTGCTCTGGGGAGACTCCCCCTGCAGTCCTGATCCAGCTCTGGGGCAGCAGCACAAGAGGGACGTGGAGCTGTTGGAGCGAGTGCAGAGGAGGCCACAGAGATGCTGTGAGGGCTGGAGCAGCTCTGCTCTGGAGCCAGGCTGAGAGAGCTGGGCTGGGTCAGCCTGGAGAAGGCTCCTGAAGGGGAGACCTTAGAGCAGCTCCAGTGCCTAAAGGGGCTGCAGGAAAGCTGGAGAGGGGCTTTGGACAAGGGCCTGTAGGGCCAGGCCAAGGGGAATGGCTTTAACCTGCCAGAGGGGAGACTGAGCTGAGCTCTTAGGCAGAAGTTCTTCCCTGTGAGGGTGCTGAGGCACTGGCACAGGGTGCCCAGAGAAGCTGTGGCTGCCCCATCCCTGGCAGTGTTCAAGGCCAGGTTGGACACAGGGGCTTGGAGCAAGCTGCTCTAGTGGAAGGTGTCCCTGCCCATGGCAGGGGGTTGGAACTGGATGAACCTTAAGGTCCATTCAGCCCAAACCAGGCTGGGATTCTGTCCTGGTTCTGCATTTTGAAACCGCAATGGACCCCCCCCGGCTGCGGCTCTGTCCCTGCCGCACACACTGCTGTTGGTGCAATTGGAAAAACAACCTGGTTTTATTGAGAAAAACAACGGATGCCGGCTACAAACCTCACTGAGGTGACGTCTGCCAGGCTGGGAACCCAGCCCAGGAACCCAGAGCATCCTTGACAAGCACAGACAGGAGCTCAGGGCACTGCAGATAAACGCACAACAAAGACCCTGCTATAACCTGTGGAACAAAGAGGCTACTATAACCTGAGGAACAAAGAAACCTCTGTAAGGAACTGACCTCCTGAAGCAGCAGAAGTCAGCCACGGGCACCCACTCTTGTATCTAAACTAGAAGACATAAAATAACTCATTTTCTACCCAAAACCAACTCATTGTTTTCTCTCTCTTTGAGCATTACCTCCAGGTGATCATCCCTGTGTGACCCCTGGAGCCTCACTGGGGATGTCTGGCTGGCTTTGGGCTCTGTGACATCCATCAGCTTTGATGTGAGACTTCATCCATCATCAGCTGGCCCCATTCCTGGAGGATCGGCACCGGTAATAACTTGAATGGTAGATTTTGAGTTATAATGTATGTCTATATATATGTGTGCATATAAGTAGTTAATCGTAAATATAAATTATGTTTATATGCTTTTCCGCTGGTATTTTGTAGTAATTTTGTAGTAACTTGTAGTAATCTTGTAGTAACTTCTAATACACACTCGCTTTACTCACCGTAACTGACTTACTGATAGTGATCAGTAATAAAGGAATTAATGGGAACAAAGCACCGTGTCCTTGTGTACCCCGGGGTTCTAGGACCTCACTGTTGCCACCATCCCACACCCATGGGATGTCACACTTGGTGTGACAGCAACTCGCCCCAAACTGGGTGCATGGGTACACATCCTCCCTGGCTGCCTGCACTGAGGAAGACATTACCAGATCCTCCCTGTTTTGGCTGCTCTTGTCCAACTAAAGCAAACATCTGGGCTCCTGGAGCTGTTCCTAACCTGCTTGTCACTGCTGGCGCCGTGGGACAGATGCGGCCCTGCTGAGAAGGTCCATGAATGGCTGAGGCTCGTCTGTGTCTGCTCACCATGAAAATCCTCCTGGTCTTTGCCTCCCTTGTGGCAGCCACCTGCAGTGAGCAGCTCTTTGTGGGGTGAGTCCTGCTGGAAGCCGGGGGGGGACGGGACACCACGGATGGGGATGGGGACCAGGGTGAGAGATACCCAGACCTATCTGTTCTCCTTTGGGATCAGACAGGAAGGATGACATCCCAAAGGGGTGAAATCGAGCAGGTTTTGCTATAGGGACACTGGCAGTGGTGTAGCTTAACCCACCCTTGTGGAGCCCAGCCAGGCTGGAGTGGAAGCTGTATTGGGAAGTACCTAAACATATCAACAGCCCTTGATAGGCCAAGGGGAAATGGCTTTAACCTGCCAGAGGGGAGACTGAGATGAGCTCTTAGGCAGAAATTCTTCCCTGTGAGGGTGCTGAGGCGCTGGCACAGGGTGCCCAGAGAAGCTGTGGCTGCCCCATCCCTGGCAGTGTTCAAGGCCAGGCTGGACACAGGGGCTTGGAGCAAGCTGCTTTAGTGGAAGGTGTCCCTGCCTGTGGCAGGGGGTTGGAACTGGAGGAGCTTTAAGGTCCCTTCCAACACAGACCAGTCTGGGATTCCATGATACTATGATATAGGCAGAATATATTGATATATAGGGTATCTCCTAACATTTTGGGCATTCTTATGATCAAAAGAAGGATGGAGACCACCTCAGGTTCTCCAGCACTTGCTTCTTTTCCCTATCTTGGCTGTTCTGAACCTGCACTTTTCACTTCCAATCTCCAACCTCCAACCGCTGATGGACTTTCCAGCCTACTGAGCCAGTGCAGACCTTTCACAGGCTCCACCCAGACCACAATGGCACCACATCAACACTGGAAGCTTAGCTCCTTTCCCCTTCCAGTGACTCCATCCCGTGCTGATGGCTCTGCCTCCCTGCAGGGACCAGGTCCTCCGCATCATGGCCAGCAATGAGGAGCAGACTGCCCTGCTTAGGGCGCTGGGCGAGCAGACAGAGCTGCAGGTGAGCTGTGGTGGGGCCCTGAGCATACCCTGATGTGAAACAGAGACCCTGGTGACACCCAGGACCTCCTTATGACTTCACATCCTATTTTCCTTCCCATTTTATATATATAAAGAATTCATAACTATATAAATATAATATTTAGCTTGGGGGACCTTGAGCTTGGCCGTTCTGTTTCATAGAATCATGGAATCAGCTGGGTTGGAAAAGCCCTTTAAGCTCATCCAGTCCAACCATTCCCAGCACTGCCAAGGCCCCCACTAACCATATTTCACATGAAGCAGGGACACCCCGGCTCCTGCAGCATTGTCACCTCCACGTTGAGAATCCTTGTCAAAAATGTCATTGCATTGGTTTTGACTTGAATGAACTTGAAGACTGAGCTGGTCAGGGTGCTGGGACACCCAGTCTTGGTCATGCTTTGCCTAGAAAGCTTGGATCCAATGATCCTTAGTCCCTTCCAACCTGGGATTCTATGATTCTATGCCCCTGACCCGATACCCATGTGTGTGATTCGGAGAAATCTCCAGGCACAAACTCGCCAGCAGAGTTTCAAGTTGACAAGCAGGTATTCTTTATACTGACACTGAGACACTGGGGATAGCTCCTCCTAACGTGTGTCCCCCTCAGGCCATCCTTATATGGTCACTGGGCATACATACATATTCATGAGGCTACACCTGAATTACATTATTTCCCAGAGATTTTGCATACAAAAATGTGGTGGTGGTCTTTGAGGGTCATTTACTTTTCCCAACAATCTTCATAACCAGCTTAATTAACATTACAGACATAGCATTCATCCTGTCCTTCTACTTATCAGTTAACTGCTCCCATCCTGGCCATCTGCTAGTCCGGGATACTCCCCAGTAGATGTTTACACCAGCTTAATGGCTTTATTAACACTACAGACAGCAATCATCCTGTCCTTCTACTTACCAGTTAGTTTAACTGTGCCCATCCTGGGCATCTGCTAGTCCCAAATACTCCCCATCCCCAGGTCCAGTTTTTCTATTCTGCTTTTCATACACTTTTTGTACTGAGGTCCTAAAACTATGTCAATTACCTTCAAGCACTGCGGTTATTTTCTATTACAAAGCCATCAAAATTAACGTTACTGAGAACTGATTCCATTTTGTGCTTTTCTGCCTTCTTGTCTCATGTGTCCCCAAAACTTGTCCCAAGACCTTTTTACCCCTTTTGGTGCTGTGGAGCTCAGTGGATGAGCACCAGCACAGGATGAGGCTGAGCTCTCTCCTCTGCACCAGGTTGACTTCTGGCGCCACCCCGCCAGCCCCGGCCACCCGGCCGACCTGCGGGTGCCCTTCCGAAGCCTCCAGGCAGTCAAAACCCTCCTGGAGTCCAATGGCATTTCCTACAGCATCATGATCCAGGACCTGCAGGTGAGAGCTGCGGTGGGAGCGGGATGAATTCCTGCAGTTCAATCCCAAATGGAAGGTCCAGAAAGTTGGAAACCAGGAGGAAATGGAAGAAGAACCCACTCCCTGCTCCCTGTAGCCTGTTGGATGGCTTGTTTTTCTCCTCCTGAACAGAAACTAGTGGATGAGGAGAAGAAAGCCATGGCAAAGCCAAGGAGGACAAAGAAGAGCACCAGCACGTTCAATTTTGCCTCCTACCACACGATAGATGAGGTACTTTGCTCTGTAGAGCATTCACTTCACCTTGGTGGGGACACGCTCAGGCCATGCTTGCATCCATGCAGTGACGTTCATGGTGGTAGGTGCCCCCCAGCACATGAAACTCCTCCTTGGACAGAGGTTTTAGTTGAGCCAGGAGGCTGGGAATCCCTCCATGAGCAGTGTGGGCTCTCCTGGCATCTCCCAGCTTGCTGGAAGACAACTTCAATATCGTTTTGGGGTTCAAAGTCTGTGCTTGAAGGAAGTTCAGGTCAGATATAAGGCAGAAGTTCTTCCCTGTGAGGGTGCTGAGGCGCTGGCACAGGGTGCGCAGAGAAGCTGTGGCTGCCCCATCCCTGGCAGTGTTCCCTGGCTGGAGCAACCTGGCCTCTAGGGAAGCACCACATCTTCTCTGCATGTTCCATTTGGTGCTGGATACTCTAAAACCCAAAGGGAAAGCCTGGGTGAGCCTCAGCAGCTCCTCCTTTCAGATCTACGACTGGATGGACACGCTGGTGGCTGATCATCCCAACCTTGTCAGCAAGCTCCAGATCGGGCAGAGCTATGAGAACAGATCCCTGTATGTGCTGAAGGTGGGTACAGGGGGAATCCTCTCCTTGCCCAGTCCTGGGAGAACACAGGGATGAAATCCCTCCCTTTCCATGCAGTTCAGCACTGGGGGATCCAACCGATCGGCCATCTGGCTGGACACTGGCATCCACTCCCGGGAATGGATCACACAAGCCACTGGTGCCTGGACGGCCAACAAGGTACCCACATGCCCTGGGATATGGGACATCAATCCTCACACCTCCCTGTGGTCACATCCCTTTTGCCCAAGGGACACTGAGGCAGCTCCTGCTCCTCTTCCCATGCAGATCGCTGAGGAGTACGGCCAGGACCCCTCTGTCACTGCCATCCTGGACAGCATGGACATCTTCTTGGAGATCATCACCAACCCGGATGGCTTTGCCTACACCCACAGCTCTGTGAGTACAGGGACTTGTCCTAATGCTTGCCTCCAGCAACCATGGTTGGGCAGGGTTTTTGGGAGGGGAGGAATGTTCCTTCCATGTGGGATGGTGGATGGGTGGTTTCCTCCTCTCCCTGAAGATCATAGAATCAACCAGGTTGGAAAAGCCCTTTAAGCTCATCCAGCCCAACCATTCCCAGCACTGCCAAGGCCACCACTAACCCATGGCACTGAGGCCTCATCTCCACGCTGTGTGAACACTTGCAGGGACGGTGACTGCAGCCCTGCCTTGGGCAGCCTGTTCCAATGCCTGAGCACCCTCTGGGGAAGGAATTGTTCCTCAGCTCCATCTAAACTTGCCCTGGTGCAGCTTGAGGCCGTTTTCTCTTGCTGCTCAGGCAGGAGGGTGGCATCTGTCCAAACAAGGAGGTGGGATTCACATCCCTGCGATGGTCTCACCCCATCTGCTCCTAGAACCGCATGTGGCGCAAGACGAGGTCCATCAATGCTGGCTCCCACTGCATCGGTGTGGATCCAAACCGGAACTGGGACGCTGGGTTTGGAGGTGAGAGCTGGGGCCACCAGGTCCCCACACTGAGCATCACTTGTGCCTCAAAGCTCCCTGCTATAGGGCAGAAACCTGGGGGCTAAAGCCCTTCCCCAGGGGAGCTTCTCTGCATGGTGCCTCCTCCACCATGCCCCAGGCTCTGGCTCCAGCAGCAACCCCTGCTCTGAGACCTACCGTGGTCCTTATGCCCACTCCGAGAGGGAAGTGAAAGCCATTGCAGACTTCATCCTTGGTCATGGGAACGTGAAGTTGGTCATCTCCATCCACAGCTACTCCCAGATGCTGCTTTACCCCTATGGCTACAAGACAGCATCCGCACCCGACCACCAGGAGCTGGTGAGATGGTCCCAACATGTAGACATGGGGCTGTGAGCACCAGCCTTGGTGGAAAAGTCCGGTTGGATCATTCCAGGACCTTGCTCTTCTCGTTAAAGCCGACCTGAAGCCCATCAGTTGGTTCTTGGAATCATAGAATCAACCAGGTTGGAAAAGACCTTTAAGATCATCTATTCCAACCATTGCCCAGCACTGCCAAGGCCACCACTAAAAAAAAGGGAGGGTGATAACAGGATGTACCTCCCATCCATCAAAAAATCAGAGTGTTTTGGGGAAAAGCAGGAGCAGAGGGGTTGGAAAAATGCTGGGATCTAGGCTCTGCTGCCCCAAGGTCTTGCTCCCCCAGGTCTCACCACTTCGGGGGTCTCCCTTGCAGAATGAAGTGGCTAAAAAGGCAGTGAGTGACTTGGCTGCTGTGTATGGGACAAAGTACACCTATGGCAGCATCGTGAACACCATCTGTTAGTGTTCCTTCCCCATCCCACAGTGCTGTGTCCATCAGGAATGCTCGGTGTTGGGATCACACCTCCCCTCCTCTCCCTGCAGACCTGGCCGATGGCACCACCATTGACTGGACCTATGACCACGGGGTGAAATACTCCTTCACATTGGAGCTGAGGGACATGGGATACTATGGCTTCCTCCTGCCCAGCACCCAGATCATCCCCACTGCTACAGAGACCTGGGCAGCGCTGCTGAACATCATGGTCCACGTCCTGGAGCATCCGTACTGAACCCATGTCCCTCATATCAATAAACAGACCTGCATTTAAGGCTGGCACCTTTATGTTTCTGTGCTAGACCCCCCAAAAGGGGTGAAAAAGGACTCTCAGACCTGCAGACAGTTGTTTCCCTCCTCGTGGCTTTGGCCATACATGTCCCATCCATTGGAGCCAACAGCCCTGAAGGACCTGGGAGGAGATGAGTGGTTTTGGGGCTGCCAAACCCAAATTTGTGGGGTTTTGGGCAGCATTGTTCCATCATCCTTTCCCTGGGGGCTGCAAGGAGGGACTTTGGGCACCCTCAGCACCATAGGTGGGGCCAAAGTGCTTTGAAGCAGCTGGGATGCCCATCACTCACTCTGATCTCTGTCCTGTGCTGGGCTTCAAACCAGTTCTGCTGCTGCCACCACCACAACCATGGTTTAGGCATCGAGGGCACCGAGTCCTCTGCACAAAAACTTGCATTTTGCACTTTCTCAACCCAAATTTACCCTTTTTCACCCCAGTGCCATGTGCTGCAACCAGTGGGGTGGGATTCTGGCACCTCCCCACCTCTCAACCCTGCCTATGGGTGACTAAGCCACTTCACAGAACAGATCTAGCTGGCACTGGGAATACTGTGGAGGAGGGAACAATGGTGCTGCAGTGCCCGACCTTGGCTGGTGCCAGCCAGAACCTTCCCTGGGAAGGGGAGGTTTCCCTTGCCCTGGGAAAGGGGACAGCTGGTGGGGCCGGGCTGGGGCCACTATTCCCATGGGATTTAAGAGCTCTGTGGTGCTGCTGGGACACGGGAGAGGCTCTTCAGGCTGACAATGAAGGTCCTTGTGCTCCTGGCTGCCCTAGTGGCAGTGGCCACCAGCACTGAGACATTTACTGGGTAGGATCTGGGTGGAGAGGGGAGGCTGGGATGGGGATGGTGGCACCAGTTGGGGCAGAAGGAGCTGGTTCAGCTCCAAAGGGGCACAGATACTCCTGGGAAGAGGCTCAGAGCAAACCGCAGTGTGGTGGGATGGTTGGGAGGGGGTTAGGCTGGACCCATGGCGGTGACCCACTGATCCCACAGGCACCAAGTGCTGCGCATCATCCCCACCACCGAGGAGGAGCTGCAGAAGGTGCATGAGCTGCAGGATGTGGAGGAGCTGCAGGTATGGGTGCAATGGCAGCGGGGGTCTTAGGGACACCCTTAAGACCCCCAAGTTCCTTGTTTTGCACCCCGAAACCACTCTGTAGAGCAGGGCTGGGGGTGCTGGATGTGGGGTGATGGTGACCAAATGGTGAAAAGCAAGACAGAAGCTGGTGCTTGTGGGGCAGCCCAAGGTGGGATCTGATCCCCCATCTCTTTCCCTCCCCCTATAGCTGGACTTCTGGCTGGCACCTCGTGGTCCTGGGCACCCTGTGGACATCCGTGTGCCCCTGCCCAGTCTCCAGCCCCTCAAAGAGCACCTCGAGGACAACGACATCTCCTACTCCGTCATGATCAAGGACGTACAGGTCAGTGCTGGTGGAGGGGAGGCAGGGAAGATGTGGGTCTTGATGTGGGACAAGGTCTCATCCTGTCCCCTGTCTCCCAGGCACTGGTGGAACACGAGCAGATGGAGATGCTCCATCGCCCCCGCCAACTGATGTTCTCCACTGACAGCTTCAACTTTGCTGCTTATCATACCCTGGATGAGGTGAGAAAGCCCAAGATTTGGGGCATTTTGGGGGTAAAAACCCCACATCCTGCGGTTGCTCTTTGCTCCATGTGCAGCAGGTGGGGAGCTGGCTGTGACCCCCACATTGTTCTCCTGCAGATCTATGCCTTCATGGACCTGCTGGTGGCTGAGAACCCCAACCTGGTCAGCAAGCTTGAGATCGGCCGGTCAACAGAGGACCGTCCCCTCTATGTGCTCAGGGTGAGGGCTTGGGGTCCATGGGGTGACCCGAGGGAGCAATGGGGCCAGGGACAAAGCCAACACTTCCCACCCCCCCCTTTCTGCTCTTCCAGTTCAGCAGAGGGGGCACAAACCGCCCAGCCATCTGGATTGACACCGGCATCCACTCCCGGGAGTGGGTGACACAGGCCAGTGGGGTCTGGTTTGCCAAGAAGGTATGGACACCCCCAGGACATGGCTGAGGTCCCCAATGGGCCACAAGGTCCTGCAGCCAACTATGGGTGCCAGAGGGCTGACCCCATAGAGAGGATGGTTCTCTGGGAGCAATTGGCACCATAAACCACCATCCACTCTCTAGATTGTCCAGGATCATGAGAATGATGAGGGTCTGGCCTCCGTCCTGAACCAGTTGGACATCTTCCTGGAGATCGTCACCAACCCCGATGGCTTTGTCTACACCTACACACAGGTACTGCCCTGGCCCCTACAGCCATGCTGGATGGGGCTGCTGCACATCAAAACCTCCTTGTCCGTGTTTCCATGGGATGGAAGGGGACCACCACGACCCATTATCCTCCCCATTCCCTCAGTGCTGGTGGAGCTGCAGCCCCGGCCCCCAGTTGAGATGTCTCTGCCATTCCAGAACCGCATGTGGCGCAAGACCAGGTCCAGGAACTCGGGTTCCCTTTGTGTTGGTGTGGACCCCAACCGCAACTGGAACGCAGGGTTTGGAGGTCAGAGCCCTCCCATTTATTAGGTTCCACCATCAAGGTGGAAGCTTTGAGGCCTTCTCTGGCTCAGAAAGATCCAGAGATGGCCCCTGGAGAAAAGATGTGATTTGGTTTGTGGCAGATGAGAGTTTGGGCTGCACCAGGGTGTTGATGGGGATCACAACTGAAAGTCATAGAGTTATCCAGGAGGAGCCCCAGAGTGTTCCTTGCTGGCTGAGGGGTGGGAGAAACTTGGAAATGGAAAAGACCCTTTGCCCAGCTGCCACTCACTTACCCTGTGCTCCCCGTCCTCTGCTCCACAGAGGCTGGGGCCAGCAGGAACCCCTGCTCAGAGACATACCACGGACCCTACGCCAACTCGGAGCCCGAGGTGAGGGCCATCGTGGACTTTGTGAACAACCACGGGAACATCAAGGCTTTCATCTCCATCCACAGCTACTCCCAGCTCCTGCTCTACCCCTATGGCTACACCAACACCCCAGCGCCTGACCACAAGGAACTGGTAGGGCTGATGTGGGGGGCAGAAGGGGGTTGGGATGATGTGAAGCTGCTCTTTTCCTCCTAGGAGGAACTCACCTATTGAGCTTTGACATCCTTTTTGCCTGTGGCATGAGGAAAAGCCTCTCCTGCAGGTTGTATCCCACACGGTTACCCTTTCTTTGGCTCATCTTTCTCCCTTCTGTGTATTCCTAGCATGAGATATCTGAGAAGGCAGTTGCAGCTCTGTCTTCTCTGTATGGCACTAGCTACAAGTATGGCAGCATCTACACCACCATCTGTAAGTAATGGGGAGGGGACAGCAGTGATTCTCCCATAATAAACCCAAATCATCACTCACACCTCAGCTTAGACAGAAGATCCCATGAAATACCTGCCCAGCAGTGTCCTCCTATTGTTTCTCCACCCAGATCAAGCCAGTGGATCTACTGTTGACTGGACATACAGCCAGGGCATTAAATACTCCTTCACCTTCGAGCTGCGGGACACAGGGCGCTATGGATTCCTGCTCCCTGCCAGCCAAATCATCCCAACGGCCCAGGAGACGTGGCTGGCGCTGAAGGTCATCATGCAGTACACGCTGGATCATCCCTACTAACCAGGAGCAGGTCCTGAGTGGTGATGGAATGAGCTGGAGGGGGGAAAATGCAATAAATCAACGTAAAGAAGGATGAGCAATGCCTTTCCTTCGTTTCTGTTTTCCCTGATCATGGTAAAAAGCCTTTCTGGAGACCAGCTTGGTGCTAATCAGCCAACATGAGTAGTGTGCTGGCCCAAAAGGGGGATTAAATGGGCATAGAAACGTAGAATGGTTTGGGTTGGAAAGGACCTTAAGATCATTCAGTTCCAACCCCTGCCATAAGCAGGGACGTCACACTAGGCCATGCCCCAAGGCTCTGTCCAACCTGGCCTTAAAGCCTGGCATGGAAACAGTGGGACACAAGAGAAAGGAAGGTGCCCTCTGCTTCTGGAAGGGGAAGATGTTCAGTTTGACACTTACTGGGCAAGCAGAGACCTAGGACGTGATGGATTCTGTGTCTTTGTGTGGCTGAACATTGACTTGTGGTAGAAAGGTCCCTCCTCGCCTGCTGTGATCCTTAGGGGAGGGAGAGCCAAGCCCCTGCTGACTCCCAGCTTCCATAGGCACCACTCCAGGCTCTCTGATAGCTCTCAAATTGAAAGAAGCACTCAACCACAAGGTGTTTAATTTAATAAAACCTAAATTACAATTAAAACTCCCAGAGTTTGACTTCATCCTCCAAAGAACATCAAGTCAAGAAGCCCCAAAGCATACAAATCCATCAAGACAACCAGAAAATACATTCAGTTCTGGATCTGGAGAATCTCAAATTCCTCAGGCTAGTTTGGTCTGCCCATGGCAGAAGGAGGTTTTCACACAGCCCTGAGCAGTTGTAGGTTTTGGATCAGTCTCCCACAGCAAAATCAGGACTTTCCTAGCTCTTGTTTCCAGATTTATTCAGTGGCATAAGACACTGCTGCTTATTTCCATGGCCTGTTCTGGACGCTGTTCCTGCCGAACGAGTGGGCACTGAGGACTCCCCCATTGCCAGCAGTGCTGGGGAGACTGGGGCTGCTCCTCATGGCTGTTGCCTTGAAGCTGCGTCCTGAAGAGCCACTGCTAAAACGGCCTGTGGGGAAAAGAAACAACCCAAAGGTCAGGAGCTGAGTGTGGGATGGAGCACAAGGACACACAAATGATGGATGAGCACCTCCCATATGCAGACAGGCTGAGAACATGAGGGCTGTTCAGCCTAGAGAACAGAAGCTGCGTGGAGACCTCAGAGCAGCCTCCAGTGTCTGAAGGGGGCTACAAGGATGCTGGAGAGGGACTCTTCATCAGGGACTGGAGTAATAGGACAAGGGGCAACAGGTTCAAACTGAAACAGGGGAAGTTCAGATTGGAGATAAGGAAGAAGTTCTTGCCTGT